AGATTTCACTAAACTTTGAGCCACGGCGTTCTGAGGCTAAAAGTATAGCAGATTTCACTAAACTTTGAGCCACGGCGTTCTGTGGCTAAAAAGTATACCAGATTTCGGTATACTTTTTAGCCACAGAACGCCGTATTTCAATTCGGAGAATTATGGCTCATGAGCATATGTATACTTTTTAGCCACAGAACGCCGTATTTCAATTCGGAGAATTATGGCTCATGAGCATATTACAGAACGTTGGTTCATAAATGGGCGTGCTTCAGTATACTTTTTAGCCATGGCGCTCTGTGGCTAAAACGTATACCAGATTTCACTATACTTTTTAGCCACGGCGGTCTATGCTAAAAAATATATCAGATTTCAGTATACTTAATGTATGCTGATGAGCATATTATAGAACGTTGATTCGTAAATGGGCGTGCTTATAAGAATCCCTATATGGGATTTCTCATAAGCACGTTAATAGGTACACGAAAATTATCTAGGTTGGTCATAAGCGTTGAGCATATTACAAAATGTTGGTTCATATATGAGCGTGCTTTTGAGAATCCCTATATGGGATTTCTCATAAGGACGCTGGGAGGTTCACGAAAATTATGCAAATTACAGAACGTTGGTTCATATATGGGCGTGCTTATATATTGGCAATTATGAACGTTGGTTCATATATTGGCAAGCTTATGAGAATTCCTTAATGAGGTGACTTATAAGCGCGCTTGTAAAGAACTTTGTGTAACTGTACTAAGCCCTGAACAAAGACTTTATTTATCCTATTGTATGCTATAAAAGACTCTGTATACGTGTACTTGTTGTTGTTGTGAAAATATATATAGAACCTAACAAAACTTTTGATCGCTTGTCTTACGGAGAGTATTGAGAGCAAATTTATAACAGTTGGTTCATATATGGGCGTGCTTATGAGAATCCCTATATGGGTATCTCTTAAGCACGCTGATAGGTACACGAAATTATGCAGTTTGGTCATAAGGTCCATAAACATGCTGATGAGCATATTACAAAACGTTGGTTCATATATGGGCGTTTTATGAGAATCCGTACGTGGGGTTTCGGTTAGGTTTAAAATTAAGGCAATGTCTACCCTGGATTCCAGAGCCTTCGACAGTAAATAATAAATTGAAATGTCGCGAAGGCTCTGGTTCAACGGGGCGATTCTTTGATTAATCAAAGAATCGCCCCGTTGAACCAGAGCCACAGAATAAGGCACACAGAAGGGCCCCCTGGCCGCCATCTTCCTAGCCAGTCGATTACATTTTCTGGCCAATAAACGCGCTGTATTGGCTGAAGGCCCCGCCTTCTGGCCAGTCAACTGCATGTTTTTGCATAGAAAAATGGTGACACGTTGCTCCGCTGAGTGGCCCTTCTGGTACTGATCTTTATTCTGTGCCAGAGCCTTCGCGACATTTCAATTTATTATTTACTGTCGAAGGCTCTGGAATCCAGGGTAGGCAATGTCTTAATTTGAACGCTTTTTACAATTAAGACATAGCTTTAATTTTCGGAAGAGATCGAGCTGATAAAAACATGGTAAGAAAAACAATATCCGATGTTAGAACTAGCCAATCAGATGCCAGTTCGGATATGAATTTGGCTGGTTCAATGATTTGGCCAGAGCCCTCGTCGCACCGCGCGTAAGAAGGGCTCTGGGTACGAGAATGTGACAGCACAAGAAAAATATTTTTGAAGTCATGTTTACAAAAATAAAGTTTACAAGATGACTAACGACGATCAGGACGTTTTAAGCGAGTTATCCGACTTGATTGAAGGCTTGACTACATCAGGAAGCCGAAGTCTAGACGAAAAGCTTTTCAAAAGGGTGAAATCGATTTGCAAATGTTCGGATGAGAACGTTCGACACTTGTATCGAATGATTATGACACAGTTGGAAAAGAGACACTCTGAAATACGGTTATCAGCTTTACAGATCATCAATGAAATATTTTTAAGATCTCATGCGTTTCGTGAGTTACTTGTAGATGATTTCCAAAAATTTTTAAGCCTCACTATAGGGGTGAATTCCAAGAAACCTTTGCCAGAGCCGAATGCAGTTGCAAGCATATTAAGGAGCCAGGCTCTTAAGGCCATTGAGAAATGGAATCAAAAATATGGCCCGCACTACGTGAAGCTTGCACTGGGGTATAAATATTTAAAATGTGTTAAGAAGTTCAATTTTGACGATTCGCAATCACATACGGAGGTGGAACGGCTAAGGGCTCAAGATGTCGAAAATAGAAGAGCAAATCATGCCGAACAAAAGTTGAATGCTGTGTTGACACAAATGGGTGATTTGATTGCTGATATTCAAAGTATTATCATGGAAATGGGGAACTGTTTTCGACTTGTCTTGCCGAGTCCAGAGGAATTTTATATATATGCCACAAATTCAAGGGATCCTACTTTGCAACTGTTGGATAGTGACACACCTAGCACAAGTTCGGGCATTACACACAAGCCTGTAAACAACGATAAACAAAGTTCTTTAAGATATAACAAACAAGGTTCATTAAGTCATAACGAACAACATTTGTTAAGCCATAATGAACTGAATGACCACGGTCTTATATCACAATCGTATCAACTGGCTATCCCACTTAGCACGTCAGTTGAAATTATCGAAACGGCTGACAATACTGATGTGCTTAATACATTACGAGAGCTACACAAACAGATTGTTGACAAGTATTTACCATCAACACAGAAATGGCTTGAAGTGTTAACGAAACACAGTGGCCATCACGAAAACCTGGTTCAGGCAATTGACTTGAAAAATTCATTGACTGAACTTAAGTACAAATTTGATAAACTAACAATAATTTCAAAGAATGCTCAAAGGAATGTTGATGAATGTGCTAAAAATGTAGATGATGAAACAGCAGATGGTTTTATTGATGTTCCTGAGAAGGAAGGACTAGAACATGTCCCAGAGAGTCGTCAACATGAGTATGGCATAGAACCTGTGAAAAATATGTCTTTGAGTACCAGTACAACAATTGGTGAAGGTCTGAAACTACTTACCCAATAAAATACACAATACAACCTAACTTTACAATTATTATTTTCAGGAATGGATCCAGCATGATCTGGTAGGGGGGGGGGGGTGCTCTGGTGCCGACTGCCGAGTTGTGTCGGTCATGTGTGCCGCCTGCCCATCAACTACTGTATTTGAATTGTAATTGTTGTTCACAGTTCACTTATCCTCATGTTATTACTCAAATTACTGTATCTCATTTTGTCTTTTTTGCTTTATCATAAAAATAGAACACCCCCCCTGCAGCCCCTCTGGCCAGGGCTACCCCCCCCCCAATAAATAAATCCCTGTATAAGGTTATATTTCATTAAGGGGTTGAGTCTTATTAATAGTTTATTTGTGAATTTATTTAAATATATATCATTTTGATATTGGGCATAATAGTTTTCACGTAAATACATTGTGCTTTATATATTTTCTATTTATGTATGTGTATAATGCTAAATTGAATAGAATATTATTTTTTGCTAAAATGTGTTGATTTAGGTTATGTTAGATGTCACTAAGATGGTTTCGATAAATCGAAACATTGAGTTATGTTAGATGTCACTAAGATGGTTTCGATAAATCGAAACATTGACATGGTCTCGATAAATCGAAACATTGACATGGTCTCGATAAATCGAAACATTGACATGGTCTCGATAAATCGAAACATTGACTTGGTCTCGATAAATCGAAATATTCACATGGTCTCGATAAATCGAAACATTCACATGGTCTCGATAAATCGAAACATTGACTTGGTGTCGATAAAAAGAAACATTGATATAGTTTCCAAATATAAATTGATCAGAGATGCCTTTGGTTAAACCAACATATTTTCACTGTTAGCTGTCATGCTACTTTTGCATTATTTGCTCCTTTTCAGAACAGTCTATAAAATGTGTTGTTAATTTTAGGTAAATTTGGTTCTTTTAGCAAGAGAAGAAAATTTTCATTCTTTTTTTTGCACAAAAGGTGTTTTTAAGCACCAATTTTTCTGGGTTTTTTCAGTTTTGAACAAATTTGTTTAAAAATACGAAAATTGGCACCATTTTTGGGTAAATAGAATATTGAACCCTATAGTAGAACTAGTTACCAAAAAATATTCGGAAATTACTAATTCTTTTTTTTTCCCAAAAAATATTTCCTCAGGATGAAAGCAAACGGTATATTCCCACTTACTTTAGCGAAATGTTTATGCCGAACATATGCAACGGGATAAACATCTAAGTTGAATGTGTATGCCGAACATATAGAACGGCATAAAAATCCAAGTTGAATATTTATTCATTGAGATCACTTGTTCAGATCAATGCGGTATGTTCATGAACACGTGGTACAGTGGTAGAAACCACAGACGTCAAATGCGTAATGGATCGAGACACGCCGAACAATTTTTTATTTTTTAGCACCATGAAATATTCGGAAATTACTAATTCTTTTTTTTTCTCCATAAATATTTCCTCAGGATGAAAGCAAATGGTATATTCCTACTTACTTTAGGTAAATGTTTATGCCGAACATATTCAACGCCATAAACATCTAAGTTGAACGGTTATGCAGAACGGAGTGAACGGCATAACCGTCCAAGCTGAATGGTTATGCCGAAGACAGTCAACGGCATAACCATCCAAGTTGAATGGTTATGCCGAAGACAGTCAACGGCATAACCATCCAAGTTGAATGGTTATGGAAGACAGTCAACGGCGTAACCATCCAAGTTGATTGGTTATGCCGAAGACAGTCAACGGCACAACCATCCAAGTTGAATGGTTATGCCGAAGCCAGTCAAGATAGATAGATAGATAGATAGGTTTATTAAAAAGAAACACATTGCAGTCTACAATGACTGAATTGCGTGTTATTTTGCAGAAGAGGTTAAGTTCTATAGAGCTATAATTTACAGGAACATTTTAAATATAAAGTTAATAAAATATATATTATAAGTATTTATAAATAGGTTTGTGAACATTTATGTTGAAAGATTATATAAAATTGAGTATCTAAGAAAATTCTTTCATGCACGCCGGTATAAAAGTTTCTAAAAATCTATCTGTTTTTATTTTTGGAAGATGAAACTCACGAGTTTTTCTGAAATCGTAGTTCGCAGAGTGACGTTCTGGCAGAAGGGTGATAATTTATGATGTGGATTGTTGATGAGTTGATTGAATAGTTTTGAGCAGGCCTTGTATCGCCGATCACTGAGGGGAATAAGGTTGCATTTTTGCAAACGCTCGGGATACTGCAAGTCTGGGAAAATTATTGAGGTGACTCTTTTTTGGACTTGCTCAATGGCGTCACTAAGACAGGTAGGCAGGACAAAATGAAAAACTTCATTTTTTTTCCAACCTCTGATTTTGAAAAAAATTTCATTTTTTTTTTCCAACCTCGGAATTTTGAAAAAATTTTCATTTTTTTTTTCCAACCTCGGAATTTTGAAAAAATTTTCATTTTTTTTTCCAACCTCGGAATTTTGAAAAAATTTTCATTTTTTTTTCCAACCTCGGAATTTTGAAATAATTTTCAATTTTTTTTTCCAACCTCGAAATTTTGAAAAAATTTTCATTTTTTTTTCCAACCTCGGAATTTCGAAAAAATTTTCATTTTTTTTTTCCAACGTCTGGATTTTGAAAAAATTTTCATTTTTTTTTCCGACATCGGAATTTTAAAAAAATTTTCATTTTTTTTTCCAACCTCGGAATTTTGAAAAAATTTTCATTTTTTTTTCCAACCTCGGAATTTTGAAAAATTTTCATTTTTTTTTCCAACCTCGGAATTTTGAAAAAATTTTCATTTTTTTTTCCAACCTCTGCATTTTGAAAAAAATTTCATTTTTTTTTTCCAATCTCGGAATTTTGAAAAAAATTTCATTTTTTTTTCCAACCTCGGAATTTTGAAAAAATTTTCATTTTTTTTTCCAACCTCGGAATTTTGAAAAAATTTTCATTTTTTTTTTCAACCTCGATTTTGCAGAAGAGGTTAAGTTCTATAGAGCAATAATTTACAGGAACATTTTAAATATAAAGTTAATAGAATTTTGAAAAAATTTTCATTTTTTTTTCAACCTCTATTTTGCAGAAGAGGTTAAGTTCTATAGAGCAATAATTTACAGG